AGTGTCTCCGATGGTTGGAGTTACGCAACTTTCGGTGATTGAATATCAGAGAAACACTAATCGGAGTTTAGAATTCTGAGTGAATGTAGGATGCATTGGAGTGTACTCGAGAAAATGGTATCACAAGATGGAGCTTTTAATAGCACGAGGAATAAAAATAAATCCAAGGAGATGAGACAAAATGCGGCTGAACCACAGTAAAAAGACCACGAGTGCACAAGTGAGCGATTTGCACGCACGTTCGCTCAAGGTCACAACAAGATCGATGTCATTTACTTTCGCCTGCGCCTCGACAACCGCCTTCGCGATCACATCACGCCATGCACGCCGATCAACCGAATTCGATTCCCATGATCTGCAATCCGGATTAGAACGTGAGAGGCTCACTTTGATCATGTCCTGTAAACGAAGCTTTCGTTTCCATACATGCCGCTTCCTAACACTCAGCTGACCATCTAATAGCTGCTTCGGTATCCGCGTCGAATTCATATGCCACACGTGACCGAGCCACTTCAGGTGTCTCAGCAAAAGTATGCAGTCCACTTCATACACTGCACTTCGGCGCAACACTTCCCTGTCTGCAACTCTCTCGCACCATCCGATGTGCAGAATTCGTCGCAGACACTGTTGATGGGATCGCTCGTACATACCGCCGGTGAATCGTTCACGTCTCGTCGCCGTATAGAACAACGGACAGCACCACAAATTTGTACACCATCATCTTCGTGCCAACGGTAAGCTGCTGGTTGTTCCACACTCGGTACTCTAGCTTCCTGAATGCCGCCGCTGCCTTCCAGACGTCGATATGAAGCTAACTAGGTAGCTGCTGGTCAGTCGACATCACACTCCCAAGGTAGCAGGAGCGGGAGGTGGTTTCCAATACTTCAGTACCAAGGCTGATCCGCGGCAATATTGCAGATTGCACCTCCAGTGAAGGCTAAAAGGGACAGAGAGTTTTGCTCGTGTTGATGGTGAGCCCGAATTTGGCCGCTGTCGAAGCCAGAACACTAGTCATGTGCTGAAACTCATCCGCGCTGTGTACAAACAACGCACAGTCGTCCGCGAACAGCAACAGATGGATAGTCGTTTCCCAGACTAGAGTTCTCGCACCGAAGCGACGGATGTTCAGCAACCTACCATCAATACGGTGCTCCACACGAACACCGTAAGCACAAGCCGCATCGAAAGCACAAGACATCATTGCATGAAGATATATAGTAAACACAGAAGAAGCTAAGAAACAGCCTTCCTTCACACCATACACAACTGCAAAGTCATCCGAGGTATGTCCACTACGCTGCAAATTCGCCCGCATATCACTGAGCTGATATACAATTACACTTACAAACTTACTCGGACAACCAAACTTCCCCAACACCAGCCACAATGCCTCGCGGTTCACAGTATCAAATGTATTGGTGACATCAAAAAACAGGGAGTACAAAGACTGGTATCGTTTTCCACACTTCTCCCCCAACTGACGAGCCGCAAACATCATATCGATGGATCTGTGACCTGAATAGAACCAGCATTGCTCTTCCGTCGAGTTCCGTTCTACCCGAAGTGCAGTGTGAGAACAAGAATTTTCGTGAACGGAATTCTATGGTCCACTCCAGTACAGTTCTGGCTCAAACCGCCGGATGTGTTTCAACAGCTGTTTCTAAAAGTTACTCCTAAGCTTTCACGGTGAAATCTTGATTCTCGGGTAGAAATTCATGATGGATCAATCCATTTCTGTCGAAAAAGGCGACCACCATCGTCTAAGCCTTGGATTTTGTTAGCCGATATTTTTGGGAGGCTGAGAAAACGATGACAGCCATGCCATTTACTGTCGCTTTGTTTCTAGATCGTATTGGTAGCATCAGGTCCTATCTCCCGTAATGGTGACTTCCAAAAATTGCGAATTCGGGTAAGACATGTTAACTTTTCCATCCGAATTCGATACCGATCGTGTGTGGTACAAACCAGACACAAATCTTCCTCTTCTTAAATGTTTGTGAACAATACTGTCTACACGGTCTTTGTTTATCTTCAATTCTTCTGCTATCATTCTCAAACACAGCTGCCGGCTATCCGCAAGCATCGGTTTCACTCGTTCGACGTCGTCTGGGATTAAGCTCGCTAACGGTCGACCCGAACGATGCGCATCTTCGGCACCGCATTTCTGTCTACAAATGATTTAAGTCATCCAAATACACGATTTACTCACTGCTTCAACACTGTACCCTTCCATTAAGATTTCGTAAGTTCCCGTCGCCGTTTTGCCTAATTTGCATCGCAATGAGGCTGGACCTTACCGTGGTGCGATGGTTTGTGTGCCTCAACGATTCACCATTGAGTTTGGCTCACATCTGTTGGGAACACTGCGTAAGTAACGAGCGTCTTCGACGCCTTGTTTACGATACAGAAAAAGGAACTGAACCGATCAGCACCGTCATTTCACGCACCTGGCTCCGATGGCTGGATCACGTGTTGCGTATGCCAGCCCACCGACTTCCACGACGTGTGTTGTTTGCTCACCGGGGATATGGATGGAAGAGGAGGAGAGTGGCCAAGCGATGACTTGGTCAAAAGGAATGAAGGCCCTCACTTCGGAGCTGACCTTGGGTGGAGCGTCACGGCTCCCTGGTTAGGGTCCAAAAGACGGTGAACACGTTTGGCTGGATACACTTGCTGACATGGCAAGGAGCCGACCACAGTGGAATTCCTCTGTGAATTTCTTTGTCCCACCCCATCCGTTTTAGCCTCCCCCTCCACCTACGTTCGCATTTCGTAGCGTAAAACATAAGAATTTTTCTTTTCGCCTAGTAGCCGGCTGGTAGCTTACCGGAACGATGCCTATCCGTTGCTGGTAGCTCAGCTGGCATACAACCGTTGTATTTATTTTCCTTTTCCTTTATATATTGCGGCACAGTAGCTGAGGTGTTTCTCACCTCTAGCTGACGTGCATAATGATGATGATGATGATTTGCCTAATTTGAAGAAAAAGTTCATGCTAACCGATTGCTCAATTATACACTGACATGAGTACTCACACTGACTCCGTTAGTTTCGTCTCAGAGAGTAGCACTTCTTTACCTCAGCGATTTACACGATAGGAGGCTTGTTGACATGTCTCTCGATGAGTAGACACCGGCTCATTATTCTATCCAGTGCGGTTTTAAAATACGGGACCATTCACCGAACTTTTCAGATGCACCTTATATTTGGTTGGAACGTTTGTCTTTCTTGTCTGCCGGAACAAATGAGTTTTTCGCCACAGACGACCTCATCACCGTCCTTGAAAAGCGGAGATAAGATAGAACTGTTCTAGACGATATAAAAACGAGAAATGTAACCAGGTTGTAGGCTAGGTCAGCTAATCGACCAATGGCAGCCATACTCCGTTGCACTCCCAGGGTCTCTAGTGTCGCTGCAGTTATGCTTACCTCTGTGTGCTTAGTTTGCCACCCCTATCGGTTGGCAGACTAGTTGATGCGTAAAAGTAACTGAACAGTGCCATACTATATTCAACTTAGTGCAAGTCACTTGTGACTACTCTTTCTTGAATGCACGGGTCTGATAACGGGTTTTATTGGAGAAGCGGAAATAATCGGACAGCTGGAGAACAACAATGACCTGGGTTTCTCCAGTTGCTGGTGCAGATGTGTATGCATTGACACACGGACCGATACCGCATAAGTTCGTCACTCAATATAAACATAACTGTAGGGCGTAGAAACGTGTAGACTGCCTGATTTTGGCAGTGATTGTAGGACACCAAGGGATACGTGAATCGTTAAAACTGCCACCAAGAATGTGGCCATTTGCTTTGCCACTCCATAGGTACGGGTGGAGGGTCTGGAGTCAATCGAAACCGTGGGCACTTGAGTCGCTCAGCATCTGAGGACATCAGGCCACTGTGGTAAAGCAGTTGGGGGCCGGCGAAAAGTGTCGGTGGCTAGCAGTTTTTGTTGAGCACAGAGAAGACGAGTAGTTTAAGCATTGTAGGGTCAAAGGCGATCCCCATACTGGGTGGAGCGTTCTTTGCATTTTGATCTGTGAGGGTACGGTAAGTAACTCAAGCAATTCATAGCCAGTGTGGTGTGCGATTCTCGTTCCCACATACTGTAGCAACTTGGCACAAAGGTGGATCACCAGGACACAGTTCATAAGCCATGCTTTAAGTCGATAAATACAAAAAGTATTGGGACCGAAGTGTTCAGCTAAAACAGCGACTAACTCTCGTCGGGAGGGAGAAAATTGACGCAACTAATTGGTGAACAAGAGCGAGATCTGAGAATTCGGCGTATGAAATGATGTAAAGGCTCCTAAAAGCATGAAATCCTACGACCCGATGAGCACAACAGAGCGTACATTTTATACAACTGTATATAGCGGCGCACTGTGGCAGAATGAGTACTGGGTTGGACAACATGCAATCCATTAGTCGACTGTGCCTCATCAGCGTGTGCTGGCTGTTAGTGGGTAAAGTTGGTGCGAAGGAGCCAGGACTTGCGTGGATTCTCGAAAACCAAACTACCGATGAGCAGAATGAGAGACGTGTGGCTAGTAAGAAAGTGGTTGGTTGGAACGATAGTAGGGAGGCGAAAACAAGTTAAATTAAAATAATAAAAAAATGATTACGCTGATGCTGACAATGTTGAGCTGGAGGACAAGGAACATGGTTGCTGTTTGCGCATAGCAAGTGACAGAATGTGTTCTGTGTAAAATAGCGAATTGATAGTGTCCGCAAGTGGTAACATGGCACAGATGCAAACTGATCGATTGTGTGGCACGCTGGAGCAGTGCGAGATGAGCGTCCTACGCAGGTGTACAAATGACTCAGGTGTGCACTTTAACGATTTGAAACTATGCGTTTTTAGAAGGTTAGGTGAAGAACACTGAAATATTGGCTTACTCTGGGACTAAAAAGTAGGTACATGCATGATATTCAAATAGATATGCATCAATATATCTTTCGAGATGTAACACGTCGTTACACGATAAGTGTGACATACATTTCCCGATATTGGTCGAAAGCTGCATTTATTTCGATTTCGCGCTTGCGTAAACTCTCGCTTGGCATAGCACCATCTTCCAAAGGAGGATCGTAGGTGTTAGACCAAGGGGATCTATAAGAGTCGCCGTCCCGATTGTAATCACACAACAAGTAATCCCGGCCTGCCTTGGCATCCCGAGCGATTTTCAGAGGCTGATCAATGGAACTCAGAATATCTTCACACAGGTTCGGGACAAGACTGATGATGTCCATCAGTGTGCGATCAATCTGTTGAGGAGGTAAACGCCTCATCAGGTCGAGCACACAGTTCAGTTGATTGTTCTGTCAACAGTAAGAGAGACAAAGAGTAATATAGCATAAGACAACAGTGTAGGAGAACAAGGAATGGTGCATTTGACAAAAGACGCAGTGTTCGATGTTGCTAACATACAGATGAATTGAGGCAGTAAATGGGACGATACAATTCTAATTCGCACAACAAAGACAGCTATTAACATGGGAACTTGAAACACTGGTAGCTTGATAAACACATGTATCGATAACGACGCCGCTTACCAAACGCTCAGATGTAAAGAACTCAAACGGCTTGAAAATCATCAACAGAACAACAGCAACAACCGGAGTGGACGCATCTCAAGGACCGCCGGAGTCTATCAGAGGTCTCTGGCAAAGGTTACGGGGCACATATCGAGGAAATCAATTCAAAAGTCAACAGCTCGTCGATCACAGATCGACGATCAAATCAACGAAATTGTACTCGGGATAATAACACACGGAGGAAGTCCCCTCATTTGGTGATGAAACGTTTGCAACTTGATTTCCAAGCTCGGAGAGCACATTAAATCCGGAACACTAGAAACCGTGGGCAAATTTTTGCAGACTATGATTTATAATAAATCAAAAAAGAACAAAATGAAGAATTGGTGGGGAGTTTAGCAGAATTAAGAGAAAGTTGCCGATGGGTCAATTGGTTGGCAGTAAAATCAACGAAACATGATAAAGAATCGGAGAGCACACTGCTAGTTGAAGCCCCTACAAAGGTTAGGTTACATTTGTTAAAAAATGGCAAAAGATGAAGTTAATGCAACGATCCATGTTTGTAGTGAACGCGAAAGACAAGTTAAAGTTGCTTAAAGCGTAGCAAAAGATAGAGCTCATTCGACCAAACGAAAGACTTCAAGCATCCGGTAAGAGTTGACCGGAATAATCACCTGAGATCACCGGAGCAAGTGAGGCCGGTTAGGGCTGCTATAGTATTTTTAAGCAATTTTATAATCAAAAGCGCAAATCAATACACCAATAAAGTGAGCCAAGTAACTAACGAAATGTTTTAAAGTGTGAAATAACACGGACCAATTTTATGGTTCAGCCAAGGTCAGATGATGCGCGCACACACAATTGATTCCGCTTGCCATGCCTGGATACGCCCCAACAAAAGTCGTCATACCGTCGATTGTTGATATAATCTCGATGTGTTCTTTACAGTGCTCCTAATCCGTCGGACATGTCCTTTGAGACTTACTGTTAATCAATACTCTTTGCGTCTTCTCCGTGGAAACTCATAGGCACAATTCTGTCGCCCCTGTGATCCCAAAAAGGGTTACTCGTCTTACCCGAAAGGTGATGCTGTGGGCTACCCAATAAACCATAAATCGTTTAAACAAGCCGCTGCATCAGCAACCGCAGACAAATTTGTGTCTACCACCCTCATCACTCTAGATGTTCTCCAGCATCCCACAAATGCCACTGCAGTCCACTGGAAATGGCCTATTATCTCCAAAGGTCAAAAACAGCTCGGCTTCTCCATACAGAGGCATATAAAAGCAGGTCATAAGCTTAACGCAACCTCCTTATGTATACGCTTTATTACAGTCTGTTTCGACTTGTCTGTCAAAATCATCGTATATAATCCTTCTCAGTAAACTCACAAGTGATAAAAATAATGCAACGATTAAGTTAGGCATGAACAGCTTCGCGCACTGAAACGTTGAAAATTCGTGCCTTACACACTGCACGCAGCTGCCGCAAAGATCAATATCCGGCTGTACAGTTAAATCCTCGTAAGACAGCAAGTTCGCTACTAGTAAGCAAGAAACGACAGGACCTGGTGTTCACTGTTAGAATATGATATCACCCAGTGATCCACAATTAGATAACACTCGTGTTACCGCAAATTTACCGATCGAGATAAATCTACTAGGACAATAAACGGTGTTATCGTTCGCTATATACCTAACAAAGCCGCAACGCTATAGATTATAGAAAACACACCAAAAAAGTGACGATGACAGTCGACTGCTTTCTAAACGAGACTCCGTCGATGACTACACAAAAAACAATGCCGAAGTACGTTATACCTCACGAATCCTACAGATGTAGCAATGCATAAAAATCAGTGTGAAAAGTTGCGGCGCTCCACTCCACATTCCAACCATCAGTTCCAATACTTCGGACAGTGTTACTAACCTGATGGATACATCGACAACCTCTTTTGACTACTAAATGCTATGGTCTATATGTACACTTGCCCTTAAACTCCACTAGTATCAATCCATGAAACAAACCGTGACTGTGTCCTCAACTAATTCCTGCTGCAGAAGCTTGGTGCAGTGACAACACTTGAGATACCCCTCGCTTTATTACCGAGCAGCAAATGTTCTGCAAGGACTGCTACATTAGACGAGGAGTGGGTAAACTGTCTACTTACTCAAGTCATGATACTTTTGGGTTAGAGGATTCACTAACCAGGTTAACCATTTCAGTCGGCACATCACAGCCGCTTGTTTGGTTGCGTTTATGGTTCAAAACACGCTACTCCTGTGCTAGCATATTAATGAAAAGTGATCGGAACAGATATCAAAATATCGGACATCATCACAAGGCAAAGCTTTCACTCCGGTAGAGTTTGAACAAACGGGGGCATTCATGATCATTACTAAAATAAACTTGAAGAACAAAGGAGGTTTAGGGCAACCCTGGCGAATCCCAATTGTACGGAATGTTTTGTTAATGTGGCCCAGAGCTAGGAGCGGCTGCATTCAGCTGCTGACGTACAAGCGGTACGCGGAATTGCTAACTGTTCAATGGCGCAAATTGCTTTGCCGGAAGGGGTGATATGGGACACAAACGCCATATGTGTGCCTACGATCGTAGAGAACATCGAGCCGTTCGGCTGTGAGAACTGATGGTCAGTCAGACATCACAGCCATAATGATGCGTCATGCCTCGACCGCATGGCAGGATCCAGGAAACGTCGGACGCTCAGCTGTGAGAAGTGGACGTGAGCCGGACACCACATAGCCGCACTGAACGTGTCATGCTTCGATCGATCGGTAGTCAGCTTTCATGCAGGTAATAAGCTAGCAAAAGGGTTTCCTGCGAATTGGTTGGTGGGGCGCTGTGCTAGAAACTGAGAAAAACAGCCTGGCCGTATGTGATCACCGGTCAATGGCCGCCGTATTGCTATCGCCACAACGCTGGTATCGCCTCATGATTGCCTTTTAACAAACCCGTAAGCTTTTAGTAGGCTGCTACCACTACTAGAGGGAATCATACTGCCGGGAGCACATTGCAAGGTTAAAGTGTCGTTCGCTTTAGCGTTTCGACTGCGTGTATGCTACAGCTAAAAATCCACCCTTCATGGGTGAACAAAAACGATTTATTGATTTAACTTGAAGTGATAGCGTAGGTAAATTTCAGTCTGCAACGACGCACTGGGGGCACCATGAGACAGCATACCAATTTAGTCAAAAGGCGATAACAGCTTTTGTGGCGATAGCAATACGGCACACAGAGGTAAGCATAACTGCAGCGACACTAGAGACCCTGGGAGTGCAACGGAGTATGGCTGCCATTGGCCGATTAGCTGACCTAGCCTACAACCTGGTTACATTCCTCGTTTTTATATCGTCTAGAACAGTTCTATCTTATCTCCGCTTTTCAAGGACGGTGATGAGGTCGTCTGGTGCGAAAAACTCATTTGTTCCGGCAGACAAGAAAGACAAATGTTCCAACCAAATATAAGGTGCATCTGAAAAGTTCGGTGAATGGTCCCGTATTTTAAAACCGCACTGGATAGAATAATGAGCCGGTGTCTACTCATCGAGAGGCATGTCAACAAGCCTCCTATCGTGTAAATTGCTGAGGTAAAGAAGTGGTACTCGCTGAGACCAAACTAACGGAGTCAATGCATAATTGAGCAACCGGTTAGCATGAAATTTTTCTTCAAATTAGGCAAATCATCATCATCATTATACACGTCAGATAGAGGTGGGAAACATTTCAGCTACTGTGCCGCAATACATAAAGGAAAAAGAAAATAAATACAACAGTTGCATGCCAGCTGAGCTACCAGCAACGGATAGGCATCGTTCCGGTAAGCTACCAGCCGGCTACTAGGCGAAAAGAAAAATTATTATGTTTTACGCTACGAAATGAGATCGCAGGTGGAGGGGGAGGCTAAAAGGGATGGAAAGGGACAAAGAAACTCACAGTAGGAACGCCACTGTGGTCGGCTCCTTGCCATGTCAGCAAGTGTATCCAGCCAAACGTGTTCACCGTCTTTTGGACCCTACCCAGGGAGCCGTGACGTTCCAACCAAGCCTGGCTCCGAAGTGAGGGCCTTCATTCCTTTTGACCAAGTCATCGCTTGGCCACTCCTCCTCCTCTTCCATCCACATCCCCGATGGGCAAACAACACATGTCGTGGAAGTCGATGGGCTGGCATGCACAGCACGTGATCCAGCCATCGGAGCTTGGTGCGTGAAATGACGGTGCTGCGCGGTTCAGTTCCTTCCTCTGTGCCGTAAACAAGGCGTTGAACACGCTCGTTACTCACGCGGTGTTTCCACCAGATGTGAGTCAAACCCAATGGATCGCTGAGGCACACAAACCATCGCACCACGATAAGGTCCAGCCTCATTGCGATGGAAATTAGGCAAAACGGCGACGGGAACTTACGAAACCTTAATGGAAGAGTACAATGTTGAAGCAGTGAGTAAATCGTGTATTTGGATGGCTTAAATCATTTGTAGACAGAAATGCGGTGCCGAAGATGCGCCTCGTTCGGGTCGACCGTCAACGAGCTTAATCCCAGACGACGTCGAACGAGTGAAACCGATGCTTGCGGATAGTTGGCAGCTGTGTTTGAGAATGATAGCAGAAGAGTTGAAGATAACCAAAGACAATGTAGACAGTATTGTTCACAGACATTTCAGAAGAGGAAGATTTGTGTCTGGTTTGTACCACACACGATCGGAATCGAATTCTGATGGAAAAGTTAACATGTCTTAGCGGAATTCGCAATTTTTGGAAGTCATCAT